TGCAGAGGGACTTCGGATGACGACTTTTGTAGAGGGACTTCGGATGACGACTGACTTCGGGGTCGGTTTTTCTTTTTTCCTTTTTCATTCCTCTTGGGTTTTTTCCATGAGGTCAGGTGATGGCCTTTAACGGTCGCCCGTCCAATATGTCTTTTCCATTCAAAGTTCCTGGTGACACATCCCTGACTAACTTGATCCGACTCAACAAGGAACAAGCCCCGTGGGAAATAATTTTTATGGCTTTTAGCCTAACTCGATAAAACGTTCGAATTTAACCGATTAAAGTTTCCAATACTTAAAATTTAAAATAACACTTTATTGTGGGTCTGTTCGTCCCTCACATAGATGTTTCAAAATAATGTTTTCGGTGGGAAGACGAGAGCAATTTTTATATCTAATCGAGATAAGTTAATTATTATAAAAATAAGCGCAGCGTCGAAATGGTTAAAAGTCGAAAGTTAAAATTTGGTACACAGTTAGGGTACGTCATGACAATGTACGCTAAAAAGGGATTTTTCGAAAAATTTCCCCGCAGGGGAGAGAAAGGGGTTAACTCTTTTCTTCCTAGTTTTGCACTATGAGGCTTTTGTAAGCCCATTAGGGTGGTGAGGAACGATATCCGACGTATCCGGATGGACCACCCCAAAAAAATTTATGAGGCTTTTCGTCCGTTCCAGATCCGATCGCGCACAGCGTGGTAAGCTGCTACCTTAACTTCTCAGCCATTTGAGGAGTGTCTACAAACTCAAATGTACTTTTCTACAGTGTACAAATATGTTCCTCGTAATTGACAAAACAAAATTTATATTGAACCTTTTTATATGCCCGTTTTGACTGAACTTCAAATTTAGGGATTTTTTAAATGTATACAAGTACATTTTCATGTGTTATATTTAGAAGTTTGTTCCAACCGCAGTAACTTTTATTTGCTATTTAAAAAACCCTGTCGTTGTAAATTAATAAAATTAAAAACTGAAAATAATTAACAACGAGCATGGAACTGTAATGAAGGTTGTCTGATTTATGAAATTTATATGAAATTTTCCTATCTAACTATCGATTTATTGAAAATAGGCCGTGTACAATACTTCATTTATCATAACATTTGGAATTTTTTTCACTTCAAATGATTGTTTTAATATTTAAAATACTGGAATCATCATTATTTGCATTTACAGCAAAGTACATTCAAATTATGATGATTTCCAATATGTTAAATATTATAGAAATAACTCAAATTTCAAGGCTTATTCGTAAAATAAAATATTTTTTATTCAGAAAACTGAAATATAGTTTTAAAAAATGTTATTTCTCACATCCTACAGCACATTAATGCATTAAGTAAATATCTAAAATATAAATTTAGGCCTTATACTGTGCTTTTTACTTTCCTGGCTCTGTTACATATACAATACACGTAATAGAGGAAAAGTATGTCAAAAGGTCAAAAAAATTCCCTACCAAGATTTTTGCACTTTTTAACTCAGGGGATCTTGAAATGTCGAGAAATGCAAAAAGTTCGAGTGTAATTTTTGTATGTATTGACGTTAGTGTGTGTATATGTGTTTGTGTGTGGCTCGATTTTGTTCACTCTCTTTGAAGTTTAATAATTCTCGAGCTTTTTGCGAAAATTTCTGTTATTTTTTTCAGGAAGGTTTGTGTATTAGGGGATTGATGCTATTAAATTTTGATGGCTAATGATCTATGTGGTGGAGAGATAAAGGGGGTCGCGTATAATATTGTGGTAAACTTTCGCAAGAAATAACAAATGTAACTAACAAAGCCAAATTCAGAAATAAAGATCCCAAATTTGAAAACGTTCGCTTCGACGAGAAACAACAGGAGAAAAAATTTGACTATTCGTGCGATGTAATGTGCACGTGAAAAAGAGTGGAGTGATATCCAAGAGTGGAGTGATATCCAAGTGAAAAAGAGTGGAGTGGTTGCGTCTCGATAGCTATAAGGGTGCGGGAAATATGAGGCGGGAAATATAAGGGTGCGGGAAATATGAGTGAAAAAGAGTGGAGTGATATCCAAGTGAAAAAAAGTGGAGTGGTTGCGTCTCGATAGCTATAAGGGTGCGGGAAATATGAGGCTGAAAGTGGTTGAAAGTGGCTTTCTATTTCGAATGTTTTGTTCGAATTTGTTCAAATTAAATTCGAACATAAAATTCGAATATTGGTTCGATTACAGAACGATTGTAAACGTTCCAGAAACTTTGAAAATAGTTCGTTTGACTTGACGTGAACAGGAGACGTTCAGAAATCGAATCGGGACCTGGTCTCTAATTAGACTGGAAACAGGGGACCTAATTCTTGCATTCTGTGACAACGGGTAAGATTAGCTATAATGTAATTATCTTAATCTTCACTATCGTTACTTTTTGCCCAGCGAAGCGGGTCCTTGCAGCTAGTTTTTATATAAATACGAATATAAATACTTATATAATATTATTACATAAGTATATATATATGTGGAGTTTGAACAAAATCACAGGGAGTCGAACGAGAAGATTTTGTACATTTGACGTAGAATGACTTAAACAATTGATTACAAAATAGGATAATTTAAATAAATTTCTTTTATAAAATCGAATTTCGTAATCTGCATTGAAATAAATATAGAGTATAAATATATTATAAAAATTATATAAATTTTAAATACCGAAACATAAGCGGAAACTATCAAGAAAGCAAAAACTACAATTAAAGAAACTGTCAACTAGAAACTAAGAATAAGACGAAACAATAGTAATAAAATAGGCCAAGTGCAACGTTGCATGAAAAATTTTATACATATAATTATTGATACTGTCACACGTACAACTATTGCAAAATGTATACAGTAGTTGTATTCCATACAATTTTTTAATACTAAATAATGTATGTATTGCTGTAGTAAACAGTGCAAAAATTCGAGACAAAAATTCTATACATTTAAATTAAAATTTTAATTTTATTTTTGAATATTTTAGATAATATTCTGAGGTTGTATATTGTTTTAATCACAATTTCTCAATTATTACTATATCGTTGATGCGATGATTGTGCGACATAAATGCATATTTTTAACCGGATATTGTGAATAAAATTTACATGACATTGTATATATTCTTCAATATTATATTCTTTTCTTCTATTGGCTGAGATGTTAAAATCTTCGAGAAATTATTCTTTTTACTTAATTAAGTAATTGGAGAAATACCTAGATAGTTTACTTATATAATCGACGTGACGGTAACGTTGTGGAGTCTTTACAATGAATGGTAAAGACACAGAAACCAGTGAATTACAGGTGAGATGTGAATTTGTGCTAATATTATCGATAATGTTAAACTAACCTATAATTCAAACGTGTCTCGAATATTATTGGTGATAATTTTTTTAATTTTTACTAATTCCTTTGTGAATTATTGACGAGACTATGTCTCCTCTCTAAACTCGCGCTGCTGCAGACGTTAGAGGTATGAAGGAGTAAACGTCAGGAGTTGCAATTTGACACAGAGTACTTAGTGCCCAAATCATGTGCACATAAAATAAACCAGATTTATAGGTATCAATATTTAGAGGATCGAGAACAGAGTCAAAAGAAACGTCCCAAAAATTATTTTCGGACCCTCAAACTTCGCGATCCTGGCCGAAACTAGTGGACCAAATGAGAAAATCGCAACTAGAGCAACAAAGATTCCACTTAAATATAAATCAGGTTCAGATTCGAAAGGAAGATTCCTGACAATTCAGAATTACGGCATGAGACGACGTTTCGAAACAATTGCACTAAATAGAAATTGCGATTTTTTCTCTGATATATTACACTTGTACGTTTCATTTTATGTTTAGGCTACTGTGTTAATATAAACGATCGTTTTACTGTTGTAAATGAAACATTACGAGTCGTACTAATTGCGTTTTTGCCATTACAATATATTTGTGTATTATTAATGTTTTTAAGACACAAAATATACTTTAACCATTAATTTTAATAAACAGTTAAACTTACAATTATTGCGTCATTTATACATAGTGGTGTAATTAACATATTTTTCTGGGGGTTATCTCGGAGGACGATCTAAAAAGTATAATCAGAACAAAATGAAATTAAACATTCCTTACACCCTGGCAGCCGACAAACGAACGTTCCCTCTAAAACCAGCCAAAATATTTCCGATAATCTGAAAGGAATCCTCGAAAACAAACTCTATATCTGAAATACAATTTTTATTTCAGAATAGTGTATAATAACGTAATGTAAATAAGAGATTAATAACAAAGCATTCATTTTTTATTATACAGTACAGTGTGGTTTACCCGAATCAATTGGGGACTGGGGTTGTTCGGATAACTGATTTTTCGGATAACCGATTAAGTACGAAAAAATATATTAACCTATTTCATGTTGAAATTTTTCACCGTTGCGTGTCGCTTAGCGTTGAATTTTCGTCGATGTTAAGCCTAACGAAAACTTTCTAAAATAATAATCGTGACTATTGTATCGTTAAAAATTATTTTTTTATTTTGTACAAATAAAAAAATATATTGAAAAATATAAAAACCAAAAAAAATATATTTTGGAAGTTGATCTAGTATCAAAAACGTTCGATTCAGCAGGATACACAGTCCTCAGGAAAACACCACACAAAAGTGCCAGTGCTGCCAGCTAAAACACACATATCAACAAAAAACTATTGGAGTAGCCCAAAATATAGCCAAAGATTGCAGCGCCACAGCACTAGTGAAAATTTAAATTTACCGACTAGAATTTACCGACTTTCAGATAAACGACGCTCTACTGTAATAAAAAATCCAGTAATGAGTTGCTCAACTTTCCTGGTAACATTTCGCGGTGCCATCTGTTTTCATATTTTATTTTAAAAGCTTTTTATAGTTTTAACTATTATAAAACGGCAAAAAGCTTAATTTCGAGGCTAATAACGAGTAAAATAGTGATTAAGTCTTACCCTACTGGAGATAAGCACGACCTCCTCTATCTCTCCACCCCATCGACCTCACCAAGATTAAATAGCAACGATACCCCTAAAACTCAAACGTCCCTGCAAAATTTCAAATATTTTCGATAAAAAGCAACCGTGCCCCCACCACACACACTAACATCCGTACATACAGAAAAAATACTCAATTTTTTTTGCAGTTCTCGACATTCCGAGGTGTCCTGAAGCCAAGACTAAAAATCTGAGGGCGGTCAGTTTTTTAAGTTTTAACAAATTTTAAGTTTATTTATTTCTAAAGCCTCTGAAAAAAGATTTAACTCGCACAGACTTTAAAAATACTAGACTTTTATAATAAAACTAGCATATCTCCAAGAAGAATCTCCCATCAGTAACTGAGTGGATAGAACCATTGAACACTGTTAGTTAGTCGCGGATTCACACCTCATCAACGGAGCCATAAAGTTTTCCTGTGTTTCTTCAGGTTTTCAATGCCAAAAAAAGGTCAATTTCCCATTAAAAGTGCTTCTAGGAGGCACTTTCCGTTGGCAGATCGCCCAAGGGTTGAATTTCTTTTTCGTCACTCGTTTCATTAGGTCTCTATATAATCTCACTTATTCGCATCTCTCTATGCAAGGAATACTCGGATTATTCAGACTCTGCTATATTTTCAAATTTCATTTGTGGCAAAAAACTTATTCTCCAAGAGGCATTGGAATTGAATGTAATTTTTATTAGTACCAATATAATGTCGAATCAGTCATTATAATATCACAGCAAAGAGAAAATTTCCTGTGAATAAAAAATACGAGGTAGGAACTCCTCTTATGTCTATTCTGATCTGAAGTGACAGATTGGCCAAAGACGTTGCAACTGTCGCTTCAGATCCTTCACACTTGTGGATGGGCACAACTGGCTTTTTATCTGGTCTCACGAATGCTAGATAGGCGAAAAATATGAAAATCAGTCACTTCAAGGAAGTGTGGCAACATAAAGTACACGTCCATAAGAAACACCAGCTGTCTGTATGCCACCGACAATTATTTTGCTGGAAAATCGCTGTTTGTACGAGTATCTCTGACACGAAAGGTAATATATAAAGGTGAAGTTATTTCCTGAACAGTCTGCTGTGTTGTCAATCTTCCTTGCACAAGTACAACAGGAGACAGATTGCCATATGAGATGGTCGTACAAACCAGCGAGGCAGAAATGGGAGGAGTATGCCGCTGAACAGTAAAGGAATGATTGCTGCTCACCAGTGGTCTTCCATGCTGCAGCAAGTTACTATCCATTCCCAAACAGGACCGAGATTCGTTGCTAAAGGCGATACATTGCCACTTCTTAGTAGACCACGTTTTTCTTCTTCAAATCAATACAAGCAAAGCCGACGATGGGGTGCTAATGATAGACCTCTACTGCTTGCCTATCAACGGTATGGATATAGACACGGTTCTATAACGAGATATCTGTCGGTCTGATTGAAGCATTCAGAGTTTACCCACCGTGTTGCTTTATCCTGACGTATATACACTGTGCAGTTAAAACGGCGTAGAAGGCGAAAAATTAGGCAAAATGGCCATCTTGCTCTACTCAGCCTATTATGGTATGGAAACAGACACGGTTCGCTAATCTTTATTTTTAAATATTGTATATTTATGTTTAGTATAATTTTGTATTAATAATGATTAAATTAATCTTATATTGTGTTTCAACTTGAATATTTTAGCCGGAAACGAAGAAGTACGAAGATTTTATAGATCTTATCGGGGGATTTAGAAAATGGCAAAAGACATTATTTTTTATTTTGATCTGTATTTGTTTTACATCAGCGATAAACAACATGAATTGGACTTTCTTAGCACCCAGGATCGATTATTGGTGCGCGAGACCTCCAAAATACTTTAACTTATCGGTAGAAGAATGGAAAAACATCAGCGCTCCCACAGAAATAAAAAAAGGTAAAATTGTGCATAGCCAATGCCAAGTTTACGAACTTGATACGAAAAATGAGAATTTGTCGACGATTCCGTGCTCTTCGTGGGAATACGATCATTCAGTGTTTAAATCAAGCATCATCGAAAAGGTAAAAAATATCTATAAAGAAATGCATTCTAAAAATTGATCGATTTATTATTATTTTGTAGTGGAATTTAGTTTGCGATGATTACTGGATGGCTTCTTTCGCCGGATCTTCTTACTTCATGGGACTATTTGTATCCGCTATTATCATTGGTCACCTTTCTGATAGGTACTGACGTATTTTTCGCTTCGTTTATTAATCAACGATAATTTATATACGCCGAATTTTACAGATATGGAAGACGACCGGTAATCATTTTCGGCATTATCCTTCATATTTTATCTGGATTGTTGTGCACCATCTCGCCATTCTATTGGATGTTCACTGTGTGTCGATTCCTTATAGCAGTGGGAAAAAATGCTTATGGTCTTGCTTATTTTGTATATGGTAGGTTATACATTTATTTTTCCATATAGTCTAGAACATTATATTTAACGCCTATAGTAAAGTATATTAGTATATTGCTGAATACAATTTTTATTTAGTATTAGAAGTGGTTGGACCGAATTATCGTGAAAATGTATTTGTTGTTGCCGGTTTGTCTTATACCACTGGAATGCTCACGCTGGTAGGAGTATCTTGGTTATTGAAGGACTGGTTTTACATTCAATTATATTGCTCGTTGCCTCCCTTTATACTGCTACTGCTTACTAGGTAAATGTATTAACATATATTACACGTATTTTATTCGTATTGTTTAATTTCTATTTTTTTAGATTTATTCCAGAGTCTCCAAGGTGGTTGCTAGCCCAAGGAAAACTGCATAAAGCTGAAGAAGTCATAGAACGAATAATGAGGACAAATAAAATACAGATTGTCGGCTTAACTGAAATTATTTCAGAACTACATTTTAAAATTAAATTGGTAAATTCAATTACATATCGAAGAATAGTTACAATAGATAACCTAGTCTATATACTACATAAAGCAAAATTTTTGAAGTTCTATAATTTTATAAATTTTCACCAACACAAAGACTTGGAAATATAATGAGAATTGCTAGTTATAAAGTGATTCAATGATATATACTATAACTTTTAAATCTGTTAATCGCAGAAACATGCTTTAATAAAGTAATTAATAATCTCACCCACTGCATATTACTGTAATTATATTAATTTCATTCATTATAAAATTTGACAGGGCGATAAGAAAGTCAGACGGAATTTCTTAGACCTATTCAAAAAACGAGGACTAAGGAAAATAACGTTTATCACTCCTATCATGTGGTAAGCTAGTGTTTTTCATTGTATCTTTTCATATACTCGTATGTTGAAGATTTGGATTAATATTTGTTGATTTTATAAATGCAAATATTTGAATAATTATTAGATTTATACAATTTGACAAATTATACCATTTTAACTAATACGAAATACAGTCGACCCCCCTATAACGTACGTTCCTATAACGACAATTCCTATAACGTAGCGAAATAATTGTAGAAACTTTCGTATAACGTACCTCCTATAACATCGTTTCGCGAGAAGATTAATAGAGTCTGGACCAATAGTGGATGAGCAGCCGAACTACTTACCTCCGAGCCTGCNTGTCTATTCTGATCTGAAGTGACAGATTGGCCAAAGACGTTGCAACTGTCGCTTCAGATCCTTCACACTTGTGGATGGGCACAACTGGCTTTTTATCTGGTCTCACGAATGCTAGATAGGCGACAAATATGAAAATCAGTCACTTCAAGGAAGTGTGGCAACATAAAGTACACGTCCATAAGAAACACCAGCTGTCTGTATGCCACCGACAATTATTTTGCTGGAAAATCGCTGTTTGTACGAGTATCTCTGACACGAAAGGTAATATATAAAGGTGAAGTTATTTCCTGAACAGTCTGCTGTGTTGTCAATCTTCCTTGCACAAGTACAACAGGAGACAGATTGCCATATGAGATGGTCGTACAAACCAGCGAGGCAGAAATGGGAGGAGTATGCCGCTGAACAGTAAAGGAATGATTGCTGCTCACCAGTGGTCTTCCATGCTGCAGCAAGTTACTATCCATTCCCAAACAGGACCGAGATTCGTTGCTAAAGGCGATACATTGCCACTTCTTAGTAGACCACGTTTTTCTTCTTCAAATCAATACAAGCAAAGCCGACGATGGGGTGCTAATGATAGACCTCTACTGCTTGCCTATCAACGGTATGGATATAGACACGGTTCTATAACGAGATATCTGTCGGTCTGATTGAAGCATTCAGAGTTTACCCACCGTGTTGCTATATCCTGACGTATATACACTGTGCAGTTAAAACGGCGTAGAAGGCGAAAAATTAGGCAAAATGGCCATCTTGCTCTACTCAGCCTATTATGGTATGGAAACAGACACGGTTCGCTAATCTTTATTTTTAAATATTGTATATTTATGTTTAGTATAATTTTGTATTAATAATGATTAAATTAATCTTATATTGTGTTTCAACTTGAATATTTTAGCCGGAAACGAAGAAGTACGAAGATTTTATAGATCTTATCGGGGGATTTAGAAAATGGCAAAAGACATTATTTTTTATTTTGATCTGTATTTGTTTTACATCAGCGATAAACAACATGAATTGGACTTTCTTAGCACCCAGGATCGATTATTGGTGCGCGAGACCTCCAAAATACTTTAACTTATCGGTAGAAGAATGGAAAAATATCAGCGCTCCCACAGAAATAAAGAAAGGTAAAATTGTGCATAGCCAATGCCAAGTTTATGAACTTGATACGAAAGATGTGAATTTGTCGTCGATTCCGTGCTCTTCGTGTGAATACGATCATTCAGTGTTTAAATCAAGCATCATCGAAAAGGTAAAAAAATATCTTTAAAGAATTGCATTCTAAAAATTGATCGATTTATTATTATTTTGTAGTGGAATTTAGTTTGCGATGATTACTGGATGGCTTCGTTCGCCGGATCTTCTTACTTCATGGGACTATTTGTATCCGCTCTTATCATTGGTCAGCTTTCTGATAGGTACTGACGTATTTTTTACTTCGTTTTATTAACCAACGATAATTTATATACGCCGAATTTTACAGATATGGAAGACGACCGGTAATCATTTTCGGCATTATCCTTCACATTTTATCTGGATTGCTGTGCACCATCTCGCCATTCTATTGGATGTTCACTGCGTGTCGATTCCTTACAGCAGTGGGAAAAAATGCTTATGGTCTCGCTTATTTTGTATATGGTAGGTTATACATTTATTTTTTCATATAATCTAGAACATTATATTTAACGCCTATAGTAAAGTATATTAGTATATTGCTGAATACAATTTTTATTTAGTATTAGAAGTGGTTGGACCGAATTATCGTGAAAATGTATTTGTTGTTGCCGGTTTGTCTTATACCACTGGAATGCTCACGCTGGTAGGAGTATCTTGGTTATTGAAGGACTGGTTTTACATTCAATTATATTGCTCGTTGCCTCCCTTTATACTGCTACTGCTTACTAGGTAAATGTATTAACATATATTACACGTATTTTATTCGTATTGTTTAATTTCTATTTTTTTAGATTTATTCCAGAGTCTCCAAGGTGGTTGCTAGCCCAAGGAAAACTGCATAAAGCTGAAGAAGTCATAGAACGAATAATGAGGACAAATAAAATACAGATTGTCGGCTTAACTGAAATTGTTTCAGAACTACACTTTAAAATTAAATTGGTAAATCCAATTGCATATCGAAGAATAGTTACAATAAAAAACCTAATCTATATACTACAGAAAACAAAATTTTTGAAGTTCTATAATTTTATAAATTTTCACCAACACAAAGACTTGGAAATATAATGAGAATTGCTAGTTATAAAGTGATTCAATGATATATACTATAACTTTTAAATCTGTTAATCGCAGAAACATGCTTTAATAAAGTAATTAATAATCTCACCCACTGCATATTACTGTAATTATATTAATTTCATTCATTATAAAATTTGACAGGGCGATAAGAAAGTCAGACGGAATTTCTTAGACCTATTCAAAAAACGAGGACTAAGGAAAATAACGTTTATCACTCCTATCATGTGGTAAGCTAGTGTTTTTCATTGTATCTTTTCATATACTCGTATGTTGAAGATTTGGATTAATATTTGTTGATTTTATAAATGCAAATATTTGAATAATTATTAGATTTATACAATTTGACAAATTATACCATTTTAACTAATACGAAATACAGTCGACCCCCCTATAACGTACGTTCCTATAACGACAATTCCTATAACGTAGCGAAATAATTGTAGAAACTTTCGTATAACGTACCTCCTATAACATCGTTTCGCGAGAAGATTAATAGAGTCTGGACCAATAGTGGATGAGCAGCCGAACTACTTACCTCCGAGCCTGCGCCACGCTACGGAGCGGCTAAATTGAGTTTGCTATCGTCTGTTTAGTATTATATATAAATTATATATAAATTAGGTACTGTACATATAATTATATATTAATTATATATAAATTAGGTACTGTATATATAATTATATATTAACTTAATTTATTGTAACTTTATTATAATTATATATATGCTTTCTGCCGCCTGGCAACACGCTACGGAGATTTTAGGCTAGTAAGTTGAGTTTATTATCGNCTAGCCAGGAAAGCGAGGTGTTTAAAGCCAGCCAATTTTTTTACATGAGAACGGATTAATCATTTTTAAAATTATTTCTTATGGAAAAGGTTGGTTTGGTATACGTCCTATTCGGTATAAGTCCAAACACCAGGAACGGATTAAGGTCGTATACCGAGGTTCCACTGTATTTTGTTACTGATGTGACTAAAAATTTTAATTGTTTACACTAGATTACCCATGGCTGAGTGTTGTTTTCATCGTGTCGTGCAGATTCTTCACGTCGATTGCAGCTGCCACACTAACTGGATTTACCATAGAGTTATTTCCGACCGTAGTACGTAGTGTTGGTTTAGGGTTGTGTTCTACCTTTTCAAGATTTGGAATTATTCTCGCTCCTTTTATGAAAGATCTGGTATGCATCCTATCTTTATTTCATAATTTAATAAATTATTCTAGTTAATAATGTCTTATTTAATAATCTTACCAGAGTGTCAAGGTCGATTGGAAACTCCCTTTTATTATCGTAGGAGTCTTGATGATTATAACAGGATTCAGTGTTATTCCTTTACCGGAAACAAAAAATACACGTTTGAAAGACACCATCCAGCAGTAAGTAATAATATATTTTTAAACAAGTAATGAAATTATTTAAAATTCTCTTAGTAATATTAAAGCTGCAGAGAACCTTGTGTNATTGAAGATTAGACATCTAATATTAAACACAATAAATATCTGAAATATTGTAATAAACACAGTTTACTGACTTGAATTATTAGAAATAATAGTGCACTATGTACACATTTACCCCATACACAGTGCATTTTGCTATTTGTAATAATTCCAGTCAGTAAATCGTGTTTGTTACAATATTTTAGGTATTTCTCATAGAAAGTCCTCTCAGGTGTCATCTTCGTTGACAGGGCACTCTTCTGTTATATTGCTACCTCATCGATTTAATCCCTAATGTTAAAATTAATTAATTATATACAAACACCAATAGAAATATTTAAAAAGTGTTAAGTTATAAACTTAATTTTCAGGTTGATTATAAAATTCAATTCCTCTCAGGTGTCATCTTCGTTGACAGGGCACTCTTCTGTTATATTGCTACCTCATCGATTTAATCCCTAATGTTAAAATTAATTAATTATATACAAACACCAATAGAAATATTTAAAAAGTGTTAAGTTATAAACTTAATTTTCAGGTTGATTATAAAATTCAATTTGTATGTCTTGTCTCTCAACCCTGATATCGCTGGAGGAAACATCTTTATTCTTTTCTCTTTATTTGGCCTATTAAATTACATCGCTTGTGGAGTTTTGTACGTTATTCTGCATCGATTTAACAGGAAACGAATCGAGATATTTCTGTGCATACTTAATGGTATTTTATCATTACTCATCATCGCCGTCCCTCAAGGTAAAGTTATTGAATACTACTTTCCTTGTTATGGTAGTGTAAGAATACTAACTTTNATTGTAATAAACACAGTTTACTGACTGGAATTATAAGAAATAAGAGTGCTCTATGTATACATTTACCCCATACACAGTGCATTTTGCTATTTGTAATAATTCCAGTCAGTAAACTGTGTTTGTTACAATATTTTAGGTAGTTCCCCATAGAAAGTCCTCTTAGGTGTCATCTTCGTTGACAGGACTCTCTTCTGTTATATTGTTATCTCATCGATCTAATCCCTAATGTTAAAATTAATTAATTATATACAAACACCAATAGAAATATTTAAAAAGTGTTAATATATTAACTTAATTTTCAGGTTGATTATAAAATTCAATTTGTATGTCTTGTCTCTCAACCCTGATATCGCTGGAGGAAACATCTTTATTCTTTTCTCTTTATTTGGCCTATTAAATTACATTGCTTGTGGAGTATTGTATGTTATTCTGCATCGATTTAACAGGAAACGAATAGAGATATTTCTGTGCACACTTAATGGTATTATATCATTACTCATCATCGCCGTCCCTCAAGGTAAAGTTATTGAATACTACTTTTCTAGTTATGGTAGTGTAACAATACTAACTTTAATTATAAAATTCAATTTGTATGCCTTGTCTCTCAACACTGATATTGCTGGTGGAACAACTTTATTCTTTTCTCGTTATTATATTTTATTATATTTTGTCAGTTTAATTAGAAGAAACAAACAGCATTATATAAGTGAAACCCTCAGTTTTCACTTATATAAGACAGTTTGTTTATTTTAATTATAACTGACAAAATAATGATATCAATTATTTTGTTACTGATGTTACTAAAAATTATAATTTTTTGTACTAGATTACCCATGGTTGAGTGTTGTTTTAATCGTGTCGTGCAGATTCTTTACGTCGATTGCATCTGCCACACTAACTGGATTTACCATAGAGTTATTTCCGACCGTAGTACGTAGTGTTGGTTTAGGGTTGTGTTCTACTTTTTCAAGATTTGGTATTATTCTCGCTCCTTTTATGAAAGATCTGGTATGCATCCTGTCTTTATTTTATAATTTAATAAATTATTATAGTTAATAATGTCTTACTTAATAATCTTACCAGAGTGTCAAGGTCGATTGGAAACTCCCTTTTATTATCATAGGAGTGTTGATGATTATAACAGGATTCAGTGTTATTCCTTTACCGGAAACAAAAAATACACGTTTGAAAGACACCATCCAGCAGTAAGTAATAATATATTTTTAAACAAGTAATGAAATTATTTAAAATTCTCTTAGTAATATTAAAGCTGCAGAGAACCTTGTGTACTGTATTGTATGTTTTCGTACAAGTCTAAGCAGTGACATGCAGATGAGTACGTTCGACGTATAAAACATTCATGAACTGTTCACGCACTGTACAGTACATTACACTACAGAACACCGAGAAAACATTCGAAAGTATTACGTGTGTATAAATAGTGTGGGCTTATAAAAGAAATCCTAAGAGTATACTGGGGTAGTAGTGAAGATCTAGAAGAGCTTGCATTTGGCGACTGTAGTGTATATATATATATGTGGAAAATAATGCATTTATTGCTTCCTTCCGTACGAATTACAATTTTAAATATACTTAATCATAAAATTTAAATTTATTAAACAAATATGAATGAGTAGAAAAGTGCAATTTTGTTCTTTTATCATTTTTAATGATGTATTTTTATGATGCTGCCTTTTATGCATTACTCTAATTCAATAATTATACGAAAATAATACTAAAAAATTAAATAATAAACAAATTACACGACTATATTTGTTTTATTTTCAGATGCTAAAATAATATTTTTATATTTTAAGTGAAAATAAAGTATATTTTTAAAAAATATTTCAGCTACAGTAAAAAAAGTGCTAAGGAGGAATCTTCAACTGTGTTAAATAATACATTACATATTGAAGAATAATTAAAGAAAATAACAGCTATTATTTATCCAGAAGAAGAAAACATTAAAAAAATAAAGGAAAATAAAAATTTACAAGTTGCATTTTCACTGTTTTAAATGGTTTAATTGTATTCAGTACTTTAAATTTATACTGCACTCTTGATACTGATATTCATTCTTAAAATCAGGAATAAATAGAATCTTATAGTTACACAAAAGTTTCAGATTATATACAACATTTTTACATCTGTAGTGTTGTTGATAATTTCTTCTATATTAAAAAGTGCAGAAGTTTTATATATAGAGGAATATAAATGGATGATATATATAAATGTGTACTGTATATCTAAATTATTGTTTATAATTGTTTTAAATTACACATACGTAATAGAAAATCTATTTAAAATTACATAAAACTGAAATTTAATAAGTTAAATACAATTTATTTACTCTTTAGTAAATTTATAAAAAAGTTGTATGTGGCGCCACCTGTTATGAAACTTTCTCATAAAAAATTATTTATATTATTAACTTCCGACAATTAGTCAAGTTTTTCAGCGGATGTGGAATTGAGAGAGAGTGATAAAAACAATGATCTTAGTAGCTGACATCTGAATTTACTGATTTAATTAACTATTTTTAATAATAGAACTGCAAAACACAAAAAATTCCTCAAACTAGTAGGACAAAAATAAAATATTCTTGTCCCATTGAATAACGTTTCTGGGTCTATATTTCACAAAAACATTACCGGTGCTCCAACCTGTAGCTCCAGGTTATCAAATGATAGTCAAGCTAGTTGCAAGGAGTTTAAAGATGTGCTTCTTTGCTTTCTTCAGTATCAAAATAATGAAGTTTTACTGTGTCGAGACAGGTCGGACTTAATGAAGATTTTCTTTTTTATTAGCATTCTTTTTCAGTAGCACTCGTCCTACACTCAAAATTACACTTTTTCCATTGTATAATAAATTAAATATTAAAAAAAATTGTAAGAATGATTATTCATGTAAAAGTTATTTTTAAATAAAATCTTTTAACGTACACCGTAGTCTTCTTTCTACGCGTTCTGTGTCGGATTATCACTGAACAGCAATTATTATTTTTTATTTGTTAAATTTTTGCTAATAGATGGCGCTACTGTAAACTAGCAAATCTAATGTAGGTGGAAATTAATTAATTTACAGAAATCTAAAAGATATTTTGGTTTGTGGTGTACCACATTATTTAAGTTAGGGGTATACAAACGTAACCGCCGAGTTTCGTAGAAANCGTACATGCGATCGCGCGTTTTCCCGGCGCTTTACGGGCGCTTCTAGATTTACGCCGCCATTTTGCTGTATATTCGATCGCGCGCTTTTGGGTAATATCTAATTTTATAATATGGAGTAAGTCGGCAAATGATTTTATAGACATTCTAAAATAATTAAAAAATTGAATTTATTTTGTCTTAGTTTTGGATACAACGTCGAAAACATTTCATGCGTCAGTCTATCTCGTAATATTGGGTGCACCCAAAATTCTCTTTGCCTATGCCGTCATCTTTTATAGCGACGATAGAGGAGCCACACACAAGCAATCACTTCCACATCCATTTCAAAACCGAGCCAGTGCGCACGCTCCGCTAAACGCTCGTTTAAAAACGCCTAGTGTGTACACAGCCTTACTCTTTAGTAAATTTATTTAAAAAATTGTATGTGGCGCCATCTGTTATGACATTTTCTCATTAAAAAATTATTTATATTATTAACTTGCGACGTGTAGTCAAGTTTTTCAGCGGGTGTGGAATTGAAAGAGAGTGATAAAAACAATGATCCTAGTAGATGACATTTGCATTTATTGATTTAATTAATTATTTATAATAATAAAACTGCAAAACACAAAAATTCCTCAATCTAGCAAGACAAAATATTCTTGTCCCAATGAATATCTTTTGTGGGTCTATATTTCACAAAAGCATTACTGGTGCTTCAACCTGTAGCTCCAGGTTATCAAATGATAGTCAAGCTAGTTGCAAGGAGTTTAAAGGTGTGTTTCTTTGCTTTCTTCAGTATCGAAATAAAGAAGTTTTACTGTGTCAATACGGGTCGGACTTAATGAAGATTTTCTTCTTTATTAGCATTTAAAAACTCGTTTTACTCTCAAAATTACACTTTTTACCATTGTATAATATATTAAATATTAAAAAGAATTGTAAGAATGATTAATCATGTAAAAGTTATTTTTAAATAAAATCTTTTAACGTGCAACCGTAGTCTCCTTACTACGCGTTCTGTGTCTTATCGAATTATCACTGAACAGCAATTATTATTTATTATTTGTTAAATTTTTGCCAATAGATGGCGCTACTTGTACACTAGCAAATCTAATGTAGGTAGAAATTAATTAATGTACAGAAATCTAAAAGATATTTTGGTTTGCAGTGTTCCACATTATTTAAGTTAGCGGCATATAAACGTAACTGTCGAGTTTAGTAGAAATTAGTCGAACGGCCTAGGCGTGTATAGCAAACAAACAAACATTCTCATTTATATATGTTACTGTGAAAGGTCAATAGTAGAGAATGTCGATATTCTCCGGTGAATGTCTACATATACAAAGTACAACAGTGAAAGCCCGAATATTTGGTTATATTATTATACATTCGAACAATCGCCGGTGTATGTCGACAAGCATAGATAAGCTTTGGTGGAGGTGGAAGACATTGTTAATACTTTTGAAGAAAATTTGAGCAGTGGCCATAACGAATACCATATCCGAAAATCCAAAGGAAAATATTGAAGAGGTGCTGCAACCCACCACGTCTTCATATCAAGCCCTGATAGGGACTTTCAACCTAGGCGAAAATCTCTTGTGCTGTTTTAGTCCTGGTGTAATTCTGTACTATTTTAAATCATTAAAAATAGATTAGTTTTTGTCAGCTCTACGAAAGTAATGTAAAATAATTATAAGAGCTGGTTCAGGCCAATAAATCGACTAAAAGCTATTATATTTGGTCATTAAATCAGCACTTACATCGCCGGTTTGTTCTCTCATCCACCAACAAAAACTATTGCAGAGAATCAATTTGGCAAGAAGAAATCGTCACTCTTAGAAAAATGCTGAAATGAATCGAAAACCTTCCGAGTGCCTACGTTTAACAATGTTTATATCCATATCGAGAGGACATCTACGTAAAATAGCAAACAAACACATCAAATAATAGCTATCGGCTCAGCTCGAATTATGGTAAAAAACTTGCCTAATGAAATAAAATAAAGAGTCTTCCTGAACGTTCTCCACAAATTTCTGCCCCCATGCCACTAGTAGTTTTGAATCAATTTGGTAATGGTAATCCTGTAGACAAGTTCACCCTGTTTGTATGCCAATCAAGGCAACTAGAAAGTAAAGCTTGTCAAATATAAACTGAGATAACACTTTGTCAGAATCTATAAAATAAAATTCCTTCTTTCAACGTATCCCTCAGCCAATAAAATGATCAAAGAATGAAGGCGTGAGAATAAGTTGACAATTACAATTGAGGCTATAAATAACCTCTTCACCTCAGTCTGAATAAATAGCTACATGAAAGGAAAGCTTTCAAAAGAACTAAGTGAAGTCGTAGTTATATGACTTTAGTAGATATTAAAAAAAAGTGATTTTACACTACAAAACAATCTTTACTGATCGACAGATTTTGTTTCGTAATTTAATACAGGAAATGAATGAAAATCAATATATATAATAATGGTAAATGTACAATGTGCGTGCCGCTAAAACTCAAAAACGAGCCCTGGTACGATCAAGGAAGTTATATGGTGTGGTAGCCTTCTATCCCCCATCCATGTAGAAGGTTCCCGATTTTACCCGAAGGGCGTGTTGTTGAAGATATAAGGGCTGGAAGTTTCGCTCTCTAGAAATTTCTAGAACAGTCCAGAACATTAGAGAGTATTCCAGAGCATTCCACAACATTCCGGAATGTTGCGGGATGTTCTGGAAGGTTTGGGAACATCCCGGATCATCCGAAATCATTGCGGACACATTCCAGAACATTCGAATGTTGTGAAATGTTCTGGAAAATTGTGGACCATTCGAAGCCTTTTTTGTATGGTCGGTTTCTTATCGGTGACGAAGGGAAGAACCGGAAAAGAAGTGAAAATTCCAAAGTAGTGCAGTGAGTGAATAAAAACAAACAGTGAAGTGTAAGTAGTCAAAGTAATACAGTAACTGAATATAAATCGAAAATAAAGTGTGAATATTATGTAAAGTGTATTAAGTGTATTTGTTAATAAAAAGTTAATTTGTTTTATATTTTATACAATGCCCAAA